GAAAAGGGCCCTTCCAGTCCCAAGAACGTGTGTGTTGGGGAAGGGATGTCTTTGTGGGGATTTCCCCCGCTCTTTTCTCTTTTGCTTTGTTACCACAGGGCTGCATGGTGGTAGTGAAACAGGCAGGGAAAACTGAGAGAAACTCTCACTTCTGGTCAGAGGCCCAAGAGAAAGGAGCCCCTGAAGGCTGGAAAGTGTCGGGATGAAGAGAGGAAGAAACTGAAGGAGCGCCCATTGCTGTTTGTACAAGGCCCCCCACAGCCATCGGGCTCGTCTCTGAGCTGTGCGCAGGACCGCTCCCATGCAGTACAGCAAAGGCTGGGATTTCAGCTCACACTGCCGTCTCCAGACGACCGGAATAGACATTTTTTTCTGAAGACTCAGAGATGGCCAACAGACACAGGAAAAGATGCTCAACACCACTTATCATCAGGGAAATGCAAATCAAAACCACAATGAGCTATGACCTCATGCCAGTCAGAATGGCTAGTATCAAGAAGAAGTAAGTGCTGGCGAGGATGTGGAGAAAAGGGGACCCTGGGCACTGTTAGTGGGCATGCAAACTGGTGCACAGTGGTGCAGCCACTGTGGAAGCAGTATGGGGGATCCTCAAAAAATTAAAAATCCCACCGCTGGGCATTTACCCAAAGAAAACAAAAACACTAATTTGAAAAGATACATGCACTCCTGTGTTCACTGTGGCATTATTTACAAGAGCTGGAAGCAATTTAGGTGTCCACTGATAGATGGATGGACAAAGAAGATGTGGTATATATACACAATAGAATATTCTCAGCCATAAAAAGTGAAATCTTTCCACTTACAACACGGATGGACCTAGAAGGTATTATACTGAGAGAAATAAGTCAAAGAGAAAAAGACAAATACCATATGATTTCACAGATGTGGAATCTAAAAAACAAAACAAGCAAACAAAAAAACAGAAACAGACTCATAAATATGGAGAACAAATTGGTGATTGTTGGGGGCGGGGGGGGCGGGGGGGATGAACAAAATTGTGAGGGAGATTAAGAGAGTACAATATTCCAGGTATAAAATAAATAAGTCCCAGAGATGAAAAGTACAGCATAGGGAATACAGTCAAGAATGTTGTATGGTAATAGATAGTAACTATACTTATCCTGGTGATAATGCATAAATGGCTAAAATTATTGGATCACTATGTTGTTTACCTGAACTAATATAACATTGTATGTCAGCTATACTTTAGTTAAAAAAATAAAAAACCATCTCAGACTAAGCCCTGAGTAACATTATGTGTGGGACAGAGCCAGAGAAGCATTAACAAAACCTTTGAAAATTGAGCTGACACTGGAATCACCAGCCACAGAAGATAAAACTTGCAGTCTGAACCTAACCAGGGTCACTCCCCATTTACAACAATCTTTTTTTTTTTTAAAGGAGGCTCCACGCTGGGGCGTGGAGCCCAACATGGGGCTTGAACAGACGCTGAGATCAAGAGTCAGACGCTTAACCAACTGAGCCACCCAGACACCCCCTAAAACAAAAATCTTAACATTCTCCAGAGGATTATACAACAGGTTCCAAAGTGGACACAACATAATATTTCAAATGTCCAGGATACAATCCAAAATTACTTGACATACACCCCCCCACACCCCACAGAAACAAACCAACCAAAAAACCCCAGGAAAATGTGACCTACTCTTAAGGGAAAAAAACAAATAACCCAGATTTGGGGAATCATCAATAAAGGTAAAATGGTAAGAAAGAATGATGTTCTGAGCAGACAAACAGATCTATATGCAAATTTTGAACTCAAAAGATCTGAAATAAAAAATTCACTGGATGGGCTCAGTAGGGAGAATGGATATAACAGAGGAAAGAGTCACTGAACCTGAAGTTAAATTGAAGAGTTATTAAACAATCTGAAGGACAAAGTTTAGGGAAGAAAACGGAGAGAGAGCATCAGTGGCCTATGGGATAATATCAGAAGGTCTGACATCATTGAGTCCCAAAAGGAGAGGAGAAAGGGATTAGTGCAGAAAAAACATCTGAAGAAATAATTTGGTAGAAGACATAAATGCACAGATTAAATGCTCAGTGAACCCCAAACAGAGGTTAAACTAAACAACAAAGTGGCCTATTTCCTTCAGTCTTTCTCTTGGTAACCTATTCAGGCTTCTCGTAAGTGTTTTCATTCCTAAGCCATTAATTCATTTTGCCTTCATTGAGCAAACGCATACTTCCATTTAATTGAAAATACCACTGATCATAAGAAGCACCATTATTTTGTGTAACATCTAAAAATGCTGCCAATTAATTTTAAGATGTCCTTATAAAGGACACGCCCTGATTGCACAGCTGTGAAAATGTAAAAAGGGTATCTTTGACTAAATACAAAACTTGGTGTCGAGCACTCACTGAGCACTGGACACTGGTGAGGAGAACAGACACGAGCGCACTCCTGATGTTACTCCTCGCTCTTCTCGGTTTAGCAGGAAAGGACAAAATGTGCAAGGGAGAAGCACAAGCCAACAATAACTATTTCCACCCTAATCATTCCCTTTGTCTTTATCAGACTCTGTCTTTTCTGGAAAGGGTGAGATGCTAGGCGAGCTATTCTTTTCCTTTAAATTTTAGCCTCACCGCCCACTGCCCCCCCCCCCCCCGCCAAAAACTCCTTACAAACTCCATGTTTGCTAATTTCCTTACATTCATGAAAAATTATTTTTGTCTTAACCTGGGACAGTTTTATGTATCTTTAGAGTCCACTTCATTCTCAAGTTACTGATAGAGCACTAAGAGACCGCAGTAGAAATTAAGTTTAAATAAAAAAAAAGGGGGGGGTTCCAGGTTTTTAAAATTGCATCGGCCATTAAGTGACAACCAAATACATAGTTCTCTTCATAGTATTTGACCCCTTACTCCCACTTTCGAGATAAACCATAAGCTGTAAGAGCCCGTGCGTACATCTCTAATGAGATCCAACTCCTAGCCAGTAAGCCTCTGCTGAAAACACACGCACACCCCTTCCCTCTGCTAGATTTGAGAGTCTAGATTCCTTATGCTTTCTTTTTTCCAGATGTATAATTTTTTAACCCCTGTGTTTCAAATTCATTTTGCTTACACTACTATTCTGATCATAAGGAACGACAGCAAGCCCCTGACGTCCCAGCAGTGGTCAATCAGCCAGCACAGGTCTAGGACTGCCCTGATGAAACGCCACTCTGCATACCCCCCTTCTCGACTCCAAGCCACTAGTCTGTTCTTTACATCCACAGAGACAGAGGATTAAAAAACAAAACAAACCAAAACCACACCGTAACACTGGTTTCCTAACGTAACAGACTTCCCACGGGCAAATCTGCACTTGAACAGGACCAGAGAGCCATTTTACACAGGGCCTTTAGCTTCTCTTCTGGCAGCCCTGCTCCAGAGGACAAAGCTTTACGGAGTTTGAGGGTCTCCTAATGGCAAGATGCTGTTTGTTCAGCTGACAAAGGTCAGGACAGTCTGGCTTTAACTGTCCCCCTACAGTTGACTGGGCTACGTTATGCAGGCGGTAGAGGCCTCTTCTCTGGAACACTACGGTGGTTTCCTGGGAGCCTAGCTGTAGTTGAACACCCAAATGCTCATGCTGTAAACAAACTCTGAAGTGTAACCTACAACCCTAAACCCTTCCATTTGGATGCCCCCGAGAGCCCTCTGCATTTGCTCTCCTGGAAAGAGTAGGAGCGGCTCGGTCCCTGGGGGGGATCCTACCAGATAAGCGGGGAGCCTTTGTACGGCTCGGTCTGGAAACTACAACATGGGAGTAAACTGCAAACCAGTCAGGTTTCGTTTGCTGGGCCACATGTGGGGCCACTTACCAAGCCTAGTTTTTTGTTTTTTGTTTTTAAGAGAAAAACTGGACATACACTGAGGAGTTTAATTCTCGAGCTCAGAAATTATCAGCCATTTTAGGAAGCCTTGAGAAACAATTTTCTGTCAGTAGAGCACACTCACATTATCTTTCTGCTCTAAGGTAAGGGGGTAGCAGCGGGGTGAAGGTCAGGAGTTGAAAATATTATTTGATACGATAATTATTTTTGCAAGCTGCTGCACTGGTGTGGCCGAGGCCTGAGACTTGGCACACGGGAGTGCCCGCCTCGCGATCTGATCCCCCCCACCGAGCAGCCCACCACCTGCAGCCCGCAGCCGGGCCGGGGGAGGGGGCGCTGGCAGACCCTTGCCTCCAGCCGTGCTACCTCTCTTCGGGGCACTGGATCAGACACGGAAGCTAACCAGCCAAAAAAAAAAAAGACAAGGAAAAGAAAAGACAAGGGGGAGAGGGAATGGGGAGGGAAAAAGACCTACAATTTGGACTCAGAGAGTCTTTCAAACACTTTAATCCTTTCGTGCTGATGGTTCCTGGAGCGTCCGTGGCTGGCACTGGACCCTGCAGCAGGAAAATCCAACTCGACTCCCTAAGCCAAAGCGTTAGAGAAGACTGCTAATCAGCTAAATAGAAACTGGAATCTGTTCCCATCAAGTCCCTTTTTCCCCCCATCACCAGAGGGACACCATAGTGTTCTGAAATACACTCTTGACATCATTTGGCAGGCAACCCTATTCTGTTGAACATGATTCAGCCCTTAGGTTATTGTTTTTAATATTAGAAAGTGAGTTTTTAAATGCCAAACAAATTTTGCAGCAGGGGGACAAAAGATATTCCAAGTGGTCTCACTGGACCTTCCACCAACTGTGTCCACCAAATGGCTTAAAAGACCACCTTCCCATGGTGTTTCAGAAATGAGGCAGAGACATAGCTCTGTCCAACTATTACCTAATGCAAGACTTTGTTCTCCAAGTTCACAGAGACGGTATTTAAGGATCAGGCTGAACTGAGGCAGGCAAGGCTGCAGAGTGAAAACGTAGCCGTGCAAGCAGCAGAGGGAACGAGCGAGCACAGCGGAGGAGCAAAACCCCGGCACAAATGGCCAGGGCTAAAAACGTGGCTCTTCACTCACACCTACCTCCTGTCCATGTTGCCACTGACCATGAGGTTGGGAGGGCTGTCCCTGAGGTTGACGCAAGTGAAATCACCAAGTGCGTTGCCCAGCTTTGAGAGGCAGCGTTCTGCTTCCAGGCTGTACACCAGGATCTGGGAAGGAAGGAAGATATGTGGGTGTGTGGCTGCAGACAGCAGGCCTCCATCCAACACTTCTCGTTCCCGCCCCGTCACCCAGCTCCCCTTTTTTTTTTTTTTT